GAATTCCTCCAGCTACACTTAAGTCCACTGTAAAGGTACCAAGAGAATCGCTTAGTGAAGGAGAGCTCATGTAAGCCATTTATAAGGCTACACAATATAAGATACAAGAGTTATCATTGTTTAAAAATTATAAATTTGGCCGCCATCTTGAAAAATCAACCTCAAAACTACATATAGGCTACTACCTATATAATACTCTTGCTCTATTGTTTGATGTCATAATACAATATTATTATCATCTTCTTTAACAATTACCGTTACATTTGGATTATCACAATATTCATATTCATCCACTTTATCTATTTCTTCGACATGCAGAAATCTCATATAATGATTATTAGGACAACCATCACATGCATCTAAATGCTTCCCCAATTCTTTAATAGGTTCATCAAAATATCGCCTAACTTCAATAATAGAACTAATGTGACTATCTAATAATGGTTTGCACTTGTCTTTACTGTGCCATTTCATGGTAGGCTTTCCCTTATTAGTATACATTCTATTAACATTATCAAAATTGTCATCTTCAGAGTCACTATCATCATTATATTCTCACATCAACAATTCCTGCTACGTAACAGATGCCACTTGTATCAACAGGGACTGGAATTGGACTATCTTATCGGCCATCAGAATTATCAATAGGATACAAGTATTCTGATTCATTAAAATAAGGCTCACTATTCTTTGTGTGACATTGCACACCAAGAAGTTCAATTTCCTAATGCTTTTTATGCATGTATCAGCAAGGGCGTAGCTAGCATAAGGCTAGGGTAGGCTATAGCCTACCCTAAAGTTCAGAACTCAGAATTGAAGTTTAGTAGTTTACCTATATTGAGTTTCTGCCTTATCTTGAAGTTTTTTGAATGCTCACCTTAGTTACCTTATGACCAAATATTAAAGAAGTTCAGAGTAGCTGTCTCAACTAGCAGTTACTCACTCAGTCACTTTTGAAACAGGAGAAAGCAGTCATTTTAGTATTAACTTAAGGTCGAGTCTTTACATAATTAACTTAATTAATTAGCTAGCTTAATAAAAAGTTAACTGCAATAGCAAGTTAAGTAATGTCATCTGCAAAAAAACAAAAACTTCTAACTTCATTCTTTAGGTAACATTTGTCAATTTTTAACGCAAATTTTAGTTAAGTATATTAGTAGTCAATCCCAGCCATGTATTTGTACTGAAGTTGAGCATGAGGAGATTGAAGATGATGATCTAGTAAATGATGATTTTGTTGATTGTGCCACTTTGCCGAGTCCTCATATGAGTCTGAGTGTGATGAAGCAGTAGCAACAACTGAAGCTGTTTAAGTATTTCAAAAAGGAGATCTTAGTGGCTACAACAGGAATACTATAAATGATGCAGACAAGTTTGAGTTACTCACAGATGAATATGATCCTCGATCTGACTACCAGTACCCCTGTAGGAAATATGGTTAGCAGTTTCGTCGTTTT